CCTGACCCTTGGGGTGTTCCATAATTGCTGTTGTTGTCAAAGGGTTTCCGGTAATTTATGAAACACGTTGGATGCTTTACAACAGGATGTCTTCATTTCTCAAAGATTGTTTTATTGATAACATCTGGTCTTGATACATCCTGAAATCTGCCTCCAACTTTTTTTTTTTTTTTTAACATTTTCTTTCCGGTCCTATTCACTTTGATTTGTCCAATGATTGCGCTAGAATTATTTATTAATGCTATAATAAAAGCACGATTCAGTTTCATTAAATTCCCTCTTTTTGTTGGGGGGGGGGGGAGAGAGAGAGAGAGAGAGAGAGAGAGAGAGAGAGAGAGAGAATTGCTGTCTTCCATGCTTGAGGCCAAACGGATGTTCATCTATTTTGCGTGCTAGATAAGGACTTTTCATTCACGATCTGGCTCAATTAGCCCACATACCATCACTGATTGGTGACTCTCTCTCCATCGTATGATTCAAAAACATCTTGTTTTTTGTTTTGTTTTTTGTTTTGTTTTTTGTTTTGTTTTTTTGTTTTGTATTTTGTTTTGTTTTTTGTTTTGTTTTTTGTTCTTTTTTTTTTTTTTTTTTTAAATCTCATCTGATCCACTTCTTGTGAAACTTTCCCATTATCACGGCTCATTCAAGATTAACCCTTCTCCTGGCATGCTCATTGCATGTAGATTAACTAGCTTCTTTAAAGTAAATAACACATTCTTTCAGTGAGTTAATTTCTCAGCGCCGCAACATTTTTAGAGATTTGTCCCCAAGCAATCTCAGTATTCTTCTAGGGGTGCCAAGTTAAACATTCAAGTTTAGGTTTAGGATTAGACAACGGATCAATATTATGGCACAAGGGTAGTAACACATAAGTGTTCCGTTTTACTTCTGACTTAAGCCTGAGTCCAAAGAATCTCAGCGCAGTGCATGAACTCTGTAGCACCGGCGCTGATCCCGAAACAATTTGCTTGAATCTACCAACCTCGTGTTCACCATAAGCGGCTGTGTCACCAGACTGGAGATCCGACCAGCGCATGTAAAAAAAAGCAAAAATGTAAAGGACCCTTTTCCACGCCTTTAGGCCTATCGGGCATATAGGGCTAGACCTATATTTGTATAGACCAATCGGCACAAGATGGGTGATGTGGTCAGCATCACGCCGGCCGCCTTTACTTTCCCGGGACTGCACCCGGTACCCACTCAAGGCTGGGTCGACCTGGGAGCCAAGGTCATTTTTGAAATAAGTCCGGCTCCGCCAGGAAGCGAACCCACGACCTTCCGATTCGCGGCGAGCGTCTAGCCACTCGGCCACGGCGACTCCCACCAGCGCATGACGACAGTATAATTGATCACACATTAGTATGCCCTTCCCCCCAGCGTGCAGTCTTTCAGGTCGGACACTACAAGATGAGACGATTTCTAGTGAATGCGGCGTTACTAGCGTGAGATAGACAAATTTGGGAAGAAACCCTGGTTGTCATGCGTATCCTACTTGAATGCACACAGAATACGGCAGACAGGGCGATGAGTTGATCTTCCTTGGAAGCAAAACCAACGTATCTGAGACTCAGTGTCGACACACATGACAAACTGCACAGTGAGACTCAGTGCCGATACACATGACAAACTGCACAGTGAGATTTAGTGCCGACACACATGACAAACTGCACAGTGAGATTCAGTGACGACACACATGACAAACTACACAGTGAGACTCAGTGACGACACACATGACAAACTACACAGTGAGACTCAGTGACGACACACATGACAAACTACACAGTGAGACTCAGTGACGACACACATGACAAACTACACAGTGAGACTCAGTGACGACACACATGACAAACTACACAGTGAGACTCAGTGTCGACACACATGACAAACTACACAGTGAGACTCAGTGTCGACACACATGACAAACTACACAGTGAGACTCAGTGTCGACACACATGACAAACTACACAGTAAGACTCAGTGCCGACACACATGACAAACTACACAGTGAGACTCAGTGCCGACACACATGACAAACTACACAGTGAGACTCAGTGACGACACACATGACAAACTACACAGTGAGACTCAGTGACGACACACATGACAAACTACACAGTAAGTCTCAGTGCCGACACACATGACAAACTACACAGTGAGACTCAGTGCCGACACACATGACAAACTACACAGTAAGTCTCAGTGCCGACACACATGACAAACTACACAGTAAGTCTCAGTGCCGACACACATGACAAACTACACAGTGAGACTCAGTGCCGACACACATGACAAACTACACAGTAAGTCTCAGTGCCGACACACATGACAAACTACAAAGTGAGACTCAGTGACGACACACATGACAAACTACACAGTGAGACTCAGTAACGACACACATGACAAACTACACAGTGACGACACACATGACAAACTACACAGTGAGACTCAGTGACGACACACATGACAAACTACACAGTGAGACTCAGTGACGACACACATGACAAACTACACAGTGAGACTCAGTGTCGACACACATGGCAAACTACACAGTGAGACTCAGTGTCGACACACATGACAAACTACACAGTGAGACTCAGTGCCGACACACATGACAAACTACACAGTGAGACTCAGTGCCGACACACATGACAAACTACACAGTGAGACTCAGTGACGACACACATGACAAACTACACAGTGAGACTCAGTGCCGACACACATGACAAACTACACAGTAAGTCTCAGTGCCGACACACATGACAAACTACACAGTGAGACTCAGTGCCGACACACATGACAAACTACACAGTAAGTCTCAGTGCCGACACACATGACAAACTACACAGTAAGTCTCAGTGCCGACACACATGACAAACTACACAGTGAGACTCAGTGCCGACACACATGACAAACTACACAGTAAGTCTCAGTGCCGACACACATGACAAACTACACAGTGAGACTCAGTGACGACACACATGACAAACTACACAGTGAGACTCAGTGACGACACACATGACAAACTACACAGTGAGACTCAGTGACGACACACATGACAAACTACACAGTGAGACTCAGTGACGACACACATGACAAACTACACAGTGAGACTCAGTGACGACACACATGACAAACTACACAGTGAGACTCAGTGACGACACACATGACAAACTACACAGTGAGACTCAGTGACGACACACATGACAAACTACACAGTGAGACTCAGTGTCGACACACATGACAAACTACACAGTAAGTCTCAGTGCCGACACACATGACAAACTACACAGTGAGACTCAGTGTCGACACACAAAACAAACTACACAGTGAGACTCAGTGACGACACACATGACAAACTACACAGTGAGACTCAGTGACGACACACATGACAAACTACACAGTGAGACTCAGTGACGACACACATGACAAACTACACAGTGAGACTCAGTGTCGACACACATGACAAACTACACAGTGAGACTCAGTGCCGACACACATGACAAACTACACAGTGAGACTCAGTGCCGACACACATGACAAACTACACAGTGAGACTCAGTGACGACACACATGACAAACTACACAGTGAAACTCAGTGACGACACACATGACAAACTACACAGTAAGTCTCAGTGCCGACACACATGACAAACTACACAGTGAGACTCAGTGACGACACACATGACAAACTACACAGTGAGACTCAGTGACGACACACATGACAAACTACACAGTGAGACTCAGTGTCGACACACATGACAAACTACACAGTGAGACTCAGTGCCGACACACATGACAAACTACACAGTGAGACTCAGTGCCGACACACATGACAAACTACACAGTGAGACTCAGTGACGACACACATGACAAACTACACAGTGAAACTTAGTGACGACACACATGACAAACTACACAGTGAGACTCAGTGACGACACACATGACAAACTACACAGTAAGACTCAGTGCCGACACACATGACAAACTACACAGCAGTGACGACACACATGACAAACTACACAGCAGTGACGACACACATGACAAACTACACAGCAGTGACGACACACATGACAAACTACACAGCAGTGACGACATACATGACAAACTACACAGTGAAACTCAGTGTCGACACACATGACAAACTACACAGTGAGACTCAGTGTCGACACACATGACAAACTACACAGTGAGACTCAGTGCCGACACACATGACAAACTACACAGTGAGACTCAGTGCCGACACACATGACAAACTACACAGTGAGACTCAGTGCCGACACACATGACAAACTACACAGTGAGACTCAGTGACGACACACATGACAAACTACACAGTGAGACTCAGTGACGACACACATGACAAACTACACAGCAGTGACGACACACATGACAAACTACACAGCAGTGACGACACACATGACAAACTACACAGCAGTGACGACACACATGACAAACTACACAGCAGTGACGACATACATGACAAACTACACAGCAGTGACGACACACATGACAAACTACACAGCAGTGACGACATACATGACAAACTACACAGCAGTGACGACATACATGACAAACTACACAGCAGTGACGACACACATGACAAACTACACAGCAGTGCCGACACACATGACAAACTACACAGCAGTGACGACATACATGACAAACTACACAGCAGTGACGACACACATGACAAACTACACAGCAGTGACGACATACATGACAAACTACACAGCAGTGACGACATACATGACAAACTACACAGTGAAACTCAGTGTCGACACACATGACAAACTACACAGCAGTGACGACATACATGACAAACTGCACAGCAGTGACGACATACATGACAAACTACACAGCAGTGACGACATACATGACAAACTGCACAGCAGTGACGACATACATGACAAACTGCACAGCAGTGACGACATACATGACAAACTGCACAGCAGTGTCGACACACATGACAAACTGCACAGTGAGACTCAGTGACGACATACATGACAAACTGCACAGTGAGACTCAGTGACGACATACATGACAAACTACACAGCAGTGACGACATACATGACAAACTACACAGCAGTGACGACACACATGACAAACTACACAGCAGTGTCGACACACATGACAAACTACACAGCAGTGACGACACACATGACAAACTACACAGCAGTGACGACATACATGACAAACTACACAGCAGTGACGACACACATGACAAACTACACAGCAGTGTCGACACACATGACAAACTACACAGCAGAGACGACATACATGACAAACTGCACAGCAGTGACGACATACATGACAACCTACACAGCAGTGACGACATACATGACAAACTACACAGCAGTGACGACATACATGACAAACTGCACAGCAGTGACGACATACATGACAAACTGCACAGCAGTGACGACATACATGACAAACTACACAGCAGTGACGACATACATGACAAACTACACAGCAGTGACGACATACATGACAAACTACACAGCAGTGACGACATACATGACAAACTACACAGCAGTGACGACATACATGACAAACTGCACAGCAGTGACGACATACATGACAAACTGCACAGCAGTGTCGACACACATGACAAACTGCACAGTGAGACTCAGTGACGACATACATGACAAACTGCACAGTGAAACTCAGTGACGACACACATGACAAACTGCACAGCAGTGTCGACACACATGACAAACTACACAGTGAGACTCAGTGACGACACACATGACAAACTACACAGTGAGACTCAGTGACGACACACATGACAAACTACACAGTGAAACTCAGTGACGACACACATGACAAACTACACAGTGAGACTCAGTGACGACACACATGACAAACTACACAGTCAAACTCAGTGACGACACACATGACAAACTACACAGTGAAACTCAGTGACGACACACATGACAAACTACACAGTGAGACTCAGTGACGACACACATGACAAACTACACAGTGAGACTCAGTGACGACACACATGACAAACTACACAGTAAGACTCAGTGACGACACACATGACAAACTACACAGTGAGACTCAGTGCCGACACACATGACAAACTACACAGTGAAACTCAGTGTCGACACACATGACAAACTACACAGTGAGACTCAGTGCCGACACACATGACAAACTGCACAGTGAGACTCAGTGTCGACACACATGACAAACTACACAGTGAAACTCAGTGTCGACACACATGACAAACTGCACAGTGAGATTCAGTGTCGACACACATGACAAACTACACAGTGAGACTCAGTGCCGACACACATGACAAACTACACAGTAAGTCTCAGTGACGACATACATGACAAACTACACAGTAAGTCTCAGTGACGACATACATGACAAACTGCACAGTGAGACTCAGTGCCGACACACATGACAAACTACACAGTGAGACTCAGTGACGACACACATGACAAACTACACAGTAAGTCTCAGTGACGACACACATGACAAACTACACAGTGAGACTCAGTGCCGACACACATGACAAACTACACAGTAAGACTCAGTGCCGACACACATGACAAACTACACAGTGAGACTCAGTGCCGACACACATGACAAACTACACAGTAAGACTCAGTGCCGACACACATGACAAACTACACAGTGAGACTCAGTGTCGACACGCATGACAAACTACACAGTGAGACTCAGTGCCGACACACATGACAAACTACACAGTGAGACTCAGTGCCGACACACATGACAAACTACACAGTAAGACTCAGTGCCGACACACATGACAAACTACACAGTGAGACTCAGTGTCGACACACATGACAAACTACACAGTAAGACTCAGTGTCGACACACATGACAAACTACACAGTAAGACTCAGTGCCGACACACATGACAAACTACACAGTGAGACTCAGTGCCGACACACATGACAAACTACACAGTGAGACTCAGTGTCGACACACATGACAAACTACACAGTGAGACTCAGTGTCGACACACATGACAAACTACACAGTAAGACTCAGTGCCGACATACATGACAAACTACACAGTAAGACTCAGTGCCGACACACATGACAAACTACACAGTAAGTCTCAGTGACGACATACATGACAAACTGCACAGTAAGACTCAGTGCCGACACACATGACAAACTACACAGTAAGTCTCAGTGACGACATACATGACAAACTACACAGTAAGACTCAGTGCCGACACACATGACAAACTACACAGTAAGTCTCAGTGACGACATACATGACAAACTACACAGTGAGACTCAGTGCCGACACACATGACAAACTACACAGTAAGTCTCAGTGACGACATACATGACAAACTGCACAGTAAGTCTCAGTGACGACATACATGACAAACTACACAGTAAGACTCAGTGCCGACACACATGACAAACTACACAGTAAGTCTCAGTGACGACATACATGACAAACTACACAGTAGGACTCAGTGCCGACACACATGACAAACTACACAGTAAATCTCAGTGACGACATACATGACAAACTACACAGTAAGACTCAGTGCCGACACACATGACAAACTACACAGTAAGTCTCAGTGACGACATACATGACAAACTACACAGTAAGACTCAGTGCCGACACACATGACAAACTACACAGTAAGACTCAGTGCCGACACACATGACAAACTGCACAGTGAGACTCAGTGACGACACACATGACAAACTACACAGTGAGACTCAGTGACGACACACATGACAAACTACACAGTGAGACTCAGTGCCGACACACATGACAAACTACACAGTGAGACTCAGTGCCGACACACATGACAAACTACACAGTAAGTCTCAGTGACGACATACATGACAAACTGCACAGTGAGACTCAGTGACGACACACATGACAAACTACACAGTGAGACTCAGTGACGACATACATGACAAACTACACAGTAAGACTCAGTGCCGACACACATGACAAACTACACAGTAAGTCTCAGTGACGACATACATGACAAACTGCACAGTAAGACTCAGTGCCGACACACATGACAAACTACACAGTAAGTCTCAGTGACGACATACATGACAAACTACACAGTAAGACTCAGTGCCGACACACATGACAAACTACACAGTAAGTCTCAGTGACGACATACATGACAAACTACACAGTGAGACTCAGTGCCGACACACATGACAAACTACACAGTAAGTCTCAGTGACGACATACATGACAAACTGCACAGTAAGTCTCAGTGACGACATACATGACAAAAACTACACAGTAAGACTCAGTGCCGACACACATGACAAACTACACAGTAAGTCTCAGTGACGACATACATGACAAACTACACAGTAAGACTCAGTGCCGACACACATGACAAACTACACAGTAAGTCTCAGTGACGACATACATGACAAACTACACAGTAAGACTCAGTGCCGACACACATGACAAACTACACAGTAAGTCTCAGTGACGACATACATGACAAACTACACAGTAAGACTCAGTGCCGACACACATGACAAACTACACAGTAAGACTCAGTGCCGACACACATGACAAACTGCACAGTGAGACTCAGTGACGACACACATGACAAACTACACAGTGAGACTCAGTGACGACACACATGACAAACTACACAGTGAGACTCAGTGCCGACACACATGACAAACTACACAGTGAGACTCAGTGCCGACACACATGACAAACTACACAGTAAGTCTCAGTGACGACATACATGACAAACTGCACAGTGAGACTCAGTGACGACACACATGACAAACTACACAGTGAGACTCAGTGACGACATACATGACAAACTACACAGTAAGACTCAGTGCCGACACACATGACAAACTACACAGTAAGTCTCAGTGACGACATACATGACAAACTGCACAGTGAGACTCGGTGACGACACACATGACAAACTGCACAGTGAGACTCAGTGCCGACACACATGACAAACTGCACAGTGAGACTCAGTGCCGACACACATGACAAACTACACAGTGAGACTCAGTGTCGACACACATGACAAACTACACAGTGAGACTCAGTGCCGACATACATGACAAACTACACAGTGAGACTCAGTGTCGACACACATGACAAACTACACAGTGAGACTCAGTGCCGACATACATGACAAACTACACAGTAAGACTCAGTGTCGACACACATGACAAACTGCACAGTTAGACTCGGTGACGACACACATGACAAACTGCACAGTGAGACCCAGTGCCCACACACATGACAAACTGCACAGTGAGATTCAGAGAAAGGAGCTTAGCGGATTGAAGAGAGGAATATCATGTGTGGGTAAGTCAAGGAAATTATTCAGCATGATTGTTCAATGGAAAACCCTTAAAGGAAATAGGCAGAAGTGCCAGCAAAGTGGTTTAATCCTTTTTAGTCTACATAAACTGGACAGGGACTGCAGTCGAGAAAAACTTGTTGGTGATAGAGGTGGAAGTTGTTGAAACCTTAATTTTTTTTAAATTCTGCTGACGGAGGTGCAGTTTCTTTAGAAAGATGGATCCATGTTTCAACATCTGCAAATTTTTGCTTTGACTACAAGTAGTCTGACTGAAGAGGTGATGGCGGTAACACAAGCAATACCTGCCTAAAGCTGCAGATTTTCCGCCATGCATGCTTGCTTAGTGATTCCACGAACATTTTTAAGAAGTTACACAAGAAGTATGGGTTCGAAGACTAATGTTGGAGCCTCTGAACAAATCTCGACTGACAGGATTGTTTCATTTTTCTACGGCGACACTGGTCTAGGAGAGAATTAACGAGCAGAGAGATCCACTCTAAGCACTCGGGCTGGCGTTCTCAACGCTCTTAAGGTGGCAGGACCAGTAGTTGAATCGGGAACGTTGATAAGACTACAAGATCGCTGGGTCAAAAGAAGTGTCGCTAGACATAAACACTATACAGACAGGCACAGAATAGCAAACCAACACAGAACTGGCGTTATCAGTCTGCACACGCTGAGGGAGAAATTAAAGCCAGGATGCCTAGCTCTCATGGACTTGTCCTATGGATTATGAGGATGATTGGTCCATTAACTAACTAAACTTTCTAGCATACTTTGCTAGTGCGCTACAAACACTTGTGTGTGCAGCTGGCTATTGATCTACACGACCGCCTCCACCTCCATTCTCAGTCTGTGTCTCTTTGTCTCATATGACAGGTTTTCGTGCTCTCAGCATCGCACATTTTGTTTTGCTCTAAATCGTCTACTTTTTTCCTCTCTAAAAGCCTGGATAATCCCATTAACGGGACTGGAATTTTCATGAATCACTTCCCCGCACTCCAGCTCCAGATGTGATTATTATCTGATATTTATCACCCTGTCCTATTTCAGCCTGATATTCTCAGCAAGGCAAATTTTGATTACATCTTCTGCTTCAGCCAAGCAAATATTTCTGTTTATCAGACTCATCATGGAGAGATCGTATTTATCCTCATCCAGTTTCGTCCTTTTCAGGACGAAATTTTTTGTCATTTGAAGCCCTACTCTGGCTTTTGCCAGGGGCCGCAATATAGGCAGGCCATAAATATGGCCAGATGTCTGAACGCGGTTTCTGGGACCTCTCCACGGCGATCCTCATCCGC